GTTCTATTTTCTGGATTTAAGGAACGTCTTTTCTCTTAAGCTATCTAGCACTTACAGCAATTTAGCAGATCATATCTTTGTAAACAAAAATGAAGCATTTATCTTTTCTCCCTGTCTGAACCCTCCAAAATTTGGAAAAAACTCTTATTGAATACTTATTTCCATGGCAATATAGTTATTTGAACAAGTTCAATAAGAATTTGTTCTCCCTGTAACAGGACACAACTGGAAACAATGATTATATTACCAAGGCTTTGACTGGAATGTCATATTTGAGGATGATGTGCATAGATATGACCAGTTTTAAGGAATTAATAAGGCTGACTTTAAGGAGCCAGTGCTTACAAAGCCCTCCTGGAAAGCTGCCTAGTGCCTGGGTTACAGGGGTCCCAGCCTTATGGGTGAGTTAGGAAGGCCACTTCCTGGCAGGACCAGAAAGCTTAAGATATTTTGGGGACCTGGAGAAGGAGGGATTCATCCAAACCTGAAGGCATGCAAGGGAAGTCTGGTGGCAAGTTCTCAGCTTGGATTCCTAGACTCGAGGAATTTAAAAGTCCAATCTGGGATTCCTAATAAAAGTTCAAAAGGCCTATGTCATCAATTACTATTCTCATTGCACTTATATAAACAATCAGGCCAAGTTTGATGAGACTAGACTTGTTTTGCAAACAAAAACCATCTTACCTTGATTATCTTTGACAAAACTAGGGTGATTATAAAGACAAATTTTATGTTTCAATGGAAAACTATAATATACCCATGCAGATTATCAGATTCTAGTCCTGTTCATTCTCCTTGAGCTATTTTCACCTCTTTGTAAGCCGGATCCTGCCATCTTGCGCATTTTGTCACTAATTAACATTTCCAATTTTCTACCATCCTTCTGACTTAGCATTACTAAGAACTAAAACTGCCCTTTTCCTGAAGCCCTGCAAGCTGAAGCTGGACGTAACTTTAAGGGATTTACCACCACTACAGTTTGGGCCACTCAGGAAGTTCACCAGAACATCGTCCTTTGAGCTCTGGGAAATAACCATGTGTGTGAGACTGCCACTACTATCCTGACTCCACTGTTTAAAGATGCCTTAAGACCAACATCTAGAAATCCTTTTGATTGCCCTCTGTACTCAAAAACTGAGTCTATATAATCTGCTCCAACTATTAATTTTTGCTTTTCCTTTTGTTTCTCCATAAATCTATGCCTTCCCTCCCTTTGCAGACCTCTTATCTCCTAACTTCTAACCTGAATCTTCTCTCTACGGCCACCAACTTGGCTTCGGGTCTGTGAAACTTCTTGGAAAGTTTTAGACAGGGGAAATAAAAGGGTCCAGAATACACCACTGTGGCACAAAAAATATTTTGAGCTGAATGCCTTTGAGACTCAACAGATGCAGGAAGAGGCTTTTTTCCCTGAATTCCCTTTATCTGACTAAAAGCAGAACCTCCCTAAAGGACTCGACTGTCAAATCCTCTCCTGGGAGTTTCAGTGCCACATCTAAAAAGACACTGTCATAGAACTATCTTTTCTCCTACCTATTCTCCTAAAGGCCCATTTATCTTTCCTAAAAGTCATTTGTTTTCCCCTAGGTGCCCTTTCTCGCTGTCCCCTTCTCTTATTAAGATGGTATATAAGCTGTAAATTCTGCCTCAAGTCACATTTTTCTCTGAACTCCCATTTACATATGTAAATAAAAATCTGCCCTTTCTCTTGCTAATCTGTCCTTTGTCAGTTTATTTCACAGGCCTCAACAACTGAATCTAAGAGGTAGAGGACAGGCTTCCCCCGAAACTGGAGAAACCCTTAAGTACAGTGGCACGCTCACGCTCCCATAAACCTCAGCAACACTGGCAGCTTTTCGCCAGCCAGCAACTCCAATTAGACATAAAAGTTTCCTTATTCTTAAAGGAAGTGCAGGAGTTTAAAAAACAGCACTGAAATTTTCCATTCAGATGGGTCTTGACGGTTCCTTTTTTTCACTTACTGCCCCCTGTACAATGGACACTTAGCCAAATTTCAGTCATTACTTCCAAATGTTTACAGCATGGTAAGTAAGCATAATTTTAGACACTGAAAAATAAGACAAAGTGATCAAACTAATTATATTATGGTATTGATATGATGCACAATGTAAGACAGAGGTAGATCTGCAAATTGCCACTTAGTTGCAAGTTCCAATTAGCACTGGTTCTCTTTGAAACATCAGTTTTACATCAACACTTATCCAATAGCACATCATAAACCACAGGGCTAGAATAATTGTTTCTGTCATGTAAATGTGGAATTGAGAGCTAAAACTGTTAAACTTAGCAACAGATGATTTTTTTCAAGAGCAAAGTAATATGCAACCCCTAGGACTCATAAGAAACACTTGAACTAAATTATTAGTCACCTCTAGGGACATTGGCTAAATTCTGAGGGTGTTGGCATTAAAACAGAACTTAATTTTTTTCAGGCATTTAAAGGTTTTCATGCATCGTGTGCCTGAAGTTTTTGGTCTCTTGATTTTCTTTGACTCACACCTCTTCCTCTCCTTGGTATATGAAAAACCCTCTTGGTGTAAGGAAAGCCCAGTCCTGGAAATTTTGCACTGAGGTTAAACCATAATATTTGATCTAATTCTAAACCAAATACCACTGCTTGGGGGTCTTATTTGTGGATTATTCAAAAACAAATGTTTCTCCTGTTCATCATGAATTTATATAATATCACAAGGATAAAAGAGATCACTTCAGGAGTGGCAATGTTTCATGAAAGCACCAAGGTGTGAAGGGGTAGGCAGGTAGAGTGACCAATCAATCAGATGAACACAACCACCTTTCACCTAGTTTTTCCTTAAAAAGAGTCAAACTGCTTTCAATTTTCTGGAGTGAAAATGGCAGCATAGGTAGTATAATAAAATGTGCAAGCTAACTGCTTCTTTCACATCCTCATAAAGTACTAATGTTTTCTAGAATACAATTTGCTATAGGGCTCAGAGACGAGCATCTTTCACATCAGTTGATATGCACACAAACCACTATCTGCTCAAAAGGAAACAGGTTTTTTTGTACACTCTAGTTAACAGTGACTCTCTCAAGAAAATAAAGTGTGTGTGTGGGGGGGAACGGTAATAACCCAACCCTGTAATAATACAACCCAGAGTCCTAGAAGGGAAAAAAATTAAGCCATATTGAAATAAAGACAATTTAGCGATATCCTAAAGGTCACCAGTATTTCCACAATACTTGATATGGCACAGATACAAAGTCTTGAGTGTGCTAATACTTAGGTTGCTAAAAAGGGAGCCATGTGTGAGACAAAAACTAACCTGGAAATTAAAGAGCCTGGATTTAGTCTCTGCTTTCTGCTCAACCCTTCTAAACTTCTTTGCTGAGCAGTTTCGTGCTGTTTGTTTTTACAACAGAAACAAGGGTCTTTGAAGACTTGGCCACAGTGTTACAAGTCTCTAAGGTGCTGAACAGCTTTATTCAATAAGAAACTACAGGTGGCAGTGGCTGAACTGCTCATTCAACAAACTGCTCTAAAGGGCCTCAGTGTCAGGGCATGCTCTCTGTACTCTTAATCTGACCTTAATACTGCAGAACCTTAGCCTCACAGCGTTTAGCATTGTTAGGAAGGATGCACCTTTGTTTTTATACAGATTCTCTGTACAGAAGTATTTCTTAGTGAAAAGTACAAGAACGACAATGGTGTGAAACAAATGAACTCATTAAAAATTGTTAGATGACTGACAGCCTACGTAGCTGCACACGAATGTAGCCAGATGCCAGAATCTTGTGGCAAAATAAAGGACAGTCTTACAGGCTTGTGTTGGAACTGTTTAGTTTATATTTTCCTAAGGCACAACCAAAGTTCTTTTAGATTTATATTTTGGCAAGTGTTTTTCTCGCTGGAGAATCATAAAAGCAGGTGGGAAGTATCTGCCTAATGGCATGTTGGCATGCTAAAGTAAGGAAAATAGTATTTGGACTAAAACTAAGGCCAGCAAGTGAAGAAAAACAACAAAATCTGTATTCGTTTTAAATTTGTACCAAGGCTTCTTACTGAATACTAGAAAAACAACAGAAGTGTCTTATACCTTTGCTTAAGAAAAAAGTGACTTTCCTTTGGAAGCCGTAGCTCAGAATTTAATCTGGGGTAATGACACCATGTAGTAAAAACAATCTGGATTTTATAATAATGTATAAGCAGGGAAAAGGTGTAAAAATGCTAAATGGTACAGAGCTACAAATATGGTGATATATGAGCAAAGGGGTCAAATCAGGTTTTTATTCCAGGCAGGTGTTATGTTTGTGAAGAGTGATTCAATTTGTTATACATTCAAATCCAAATTAGAACTAGCTGCCTTACAATGGGATTTCACTGCCATGTCTTAGCACTTTAATTTTTGGTAGTTCTGTTACAAGTTCAAGTAAGTTAGAGCTGTTTTCAACCCTTATATCTCTTTCCTTCAACAAAATGAAGGAGCAGGTGTTCTAATAAGCTTTATGTACGTAAGATCCTGATCATTTTAGCTCTAGTTCACCCAACACATTTCCCTGGGCATGACCATGGCCTCTCTGAAAACTGGAAAATATTGCATAATTTTAAAAGTCAGAGTATAACGACATTTACTGGTAACTTCAAATGAGTTATTCTAGGAGGATGAAATATGTTTGCCCACCAATCATGTTTGCCTAGCCATAAAAACAGTGACAACTTTAAGATCTGCAAAGATCAAAGGAAACGGAGCAACCACCTTTAACTGGGTGGAGGTGGAACATTCTACAGGTGTCCTGGTCGCCTTCATAAAGGTTACAAGATGACCCACCCACCCTGCCGGGCTGTGACCACAAACGACATCCCAGAGCCCACCGCAAATCTGGAATGTGACAAGTATAGAACCCAGTGGCAGGTCTGAGCTTGCTTATAATACTCAGACCAGCACAGAGGCAGACAATGAAGAACTACCAGAATCCCACAGATAGTTCTTTTTTCTTTTTCTTTCTTTCTTTTTGCTTTTTTTTTTTTTTTTACCTTGGGAAACCATCCATGAAGTTACTATGACAAAAATATAAATCAAGGCTGAAATAGCTAAGTGCTGCCTCATAGCTGGCCATCTGGATATGGGGTTTTGCCAGTCCTTAGCTGACTGTTTTCATTATTTAATCAAATATTAAGAAAAGTTTAATTCACATGCAAGCCTTGTCAAAAAAGAGAAAAAGGTTAATTTCCTATGATCAGCACAAACTGTTAACCTGTTAAGAAAAGCCCAATATTTCCAGCATTTGAGTATATACATACACATCATGCCTGTTTCTTTTGAAACATCTTAGAGTGACGGCGAGGAGGAGGAAGACAAATGAGATAAAGACACAAGCTAAACATCCAACAAGCCCCATTCCTCATTCTCTGTATGGCTGGCAGCATTAGTCAGAAAGTCACTCCTTTGCTGCGATGGTCATGATATATTTGAACGTGTAAATCTCTGACGATTTCCTTAATCATTTGACCCGGCCTATGGTACGTGTTATTTTGTTTTACTGGTGAAATAATTCATTACTGCTTCCTGAGAGGCTCAAACAGGATCACCGGCCAGATTCCGAAGAGAAACTGTTTGGAAACAAGTTAGGACAAAATGAAAGAAGATAAAATTGTTCCATGTTATCCTTGAAAAAGGATGAAAAAGAACCCATGGGCTATGACTACAGTGGTTTGCTAGTGGTTGTCCTGGTATTAATAACCTGAGCAGAGCATATTCTTTGTAGGTCTACACCAGATCTCAGAAACTATTTTTATTTAATTTATTTAAATATATTAAGTATCTACGTTGTCAAGCATAGAGCTGGGCATTTAAATCATCTCAGATCTTTAAAATAACTCTACAATGTAGCTATTAACAGCTCCATTTTACTACTGAAGAAACTAAGGCTTAAAGAAAAGAGACTTGCTCAAGGTCATAGAGCAGTAAGTGGAAGACTTAAGATCTAAGAGCATCTGGTCCCAAAGCCTGTACTCTCTCTGCTACATCTCCACCCCACCCCCTTCTTCCACCTCCATCCCATCCTCCCATTACCTCCGTCCTCCACACACACACACACACACACACACACACCCTAGGAAGTGGACTTACCTTCACCTTTGGCCTGTATCTCAGGTAAAGTGTTCTTGTATATAAACTGAAAGAAAAAGGGAGGGTGGAAAGCTTTTCAGACAAATTTTTTTAAAATTGAAGTATAGTTGATTTACAATTCTGTGTTAGTTTCAGGTGTAGAGCAAAGTGATTCAGAGATATATATATATATATATATATATATATATATATACACATTCTTTTTCAGATTCTTTTCCATTATAGGTTATTACAAGATATTGAATATAGTTCCCTGTGCTATATAGTAGATCCTTGTTGTTCATGTATTTTATATATAATAGTGTGTATCTGTTAATCCCAAACTCCTAATTTATCCCTCCCATCCCACCCCCTTTCCCCTTTGGGAACCATAAGTTTGTTTTCTATGTCTGTGAGTCTATTTCTGTTTTGTAAATAAGTTCAGACAAGTTTTTAAATTCACGCAAACTGGCTTACTGACAAATTTAACCACAGTGCCTCTGTATATACAAAGAAAAAGCAACACTGACAAACTTTGTTCATTTAGCAACCGTTTTTTGAGGACCTACTCTATGCAGAACAGTTGGCAAGATCCTAAGGAAGATAGAAATGATCAACTCTCAGACTGTAACCTCAGGATGTTTGTAGTTTAGTAAGGAGCATTCTGCTCATGCTTGCTGTGATTCATGAGTCATGATTGCCAATTTCATCTCTGAAGATACATGGTAGTAAGAATTAAGGTAGAGTATTCCTAGAATATTTTAGAAACGGTTATACCAGCTCTATCAGGATTACAATACAGGTATGAAATAACCAGGAAGGTATCACTTCTTCAGAGAATCCTTTAAAATGAGTCATCTCTAAAGATGAGATCAGATTCTGGGAGTCCCTGGTGGCACAGTGGTTAAGAATCTGCCTGCCAATGCAGGGGACACGGGTTCAAGCCCTGGTCCGGGAAGAACCCACATGCCGCGGAGCAACTAAGCCCGTGCGCCACAACTACTGAGCCTGCACTCTAGAGCCTGCAAGCCACAACTACTGAAGCCCGCGCACCTAGAGCCCGTGCTCTGCAACAAGAGAAGCCACCGCAATGAGAAGCCTGTGCACCACAACGAAGAGTAGCCCCTGCTCGCTGCAACTAGAGAAAGCCCGTGTGCAGCAATAAAGACCCAATGTAGCCAAAAATAAATAAAGAAATTTATTAAAAAAAAAATAAAGATGAGATCAGATTCTAATATACCAGTCCGTACAGCAAAAATAAAGTTAAATCTCTGAAAAATTTATTAAACTGTCCATAACTTAACAGCATACATAGTTTATATATAGTACACGATTTAACTGTATTTGAATAGTAATATACAGTATAAGTACGTAAGCAAAACATAATTTTATAGCATGAAAAATTTTCTCCTTTAAATAAGAGAATGAAAAAGAGCACGTATGTTTGAATTTGAGTAATTTAGTGTGGCTATGATGCCATTCTAATGTACCCAAAACTGGAACTGTAAAGAGAAGCATCATATATTATGAATACTTTACTGTCTTAGAATATAATCTTACTCTGACAATTTTTCAGATGTTTATCTCTAAAAGAAAGTTGCCATGTTTTCTCTTCTCTTTAGTGAAGAGTCCTGGACTGGGGCAGAGAAGTCCTGGGTTCCAACCCTTGCTGTCACCTCCACCGCTCCCAACTATTTGTTAAGTACCTACAACATGGGGGCAAGCACTGGACCCAGAGCTTTATACACACTTCATTCTTAAACTACCCTACTAGGTAGGTATTATTATTCCTGTCTCAAAAAAGGTCAAATATTTCATTCAAGGTGCTACAGCTAGTAAATGCTAGAAGCAGGATTTGAGTTCAGGTGCTGTCTAATCATTATCCAATATATTCTACTCCAACTAGCCAGTGACCTTGAGTGTCACTTCTCTCTGGGCCTCAGTTTCCTTCACCATCAAATTAAGAAGTTATATTAGTTGATTTCTAAGGTCTTGATTGGTCTGGGGAGACAGAAAACTGTGGGCTCAAATCCAGGCAATAACACTAAGATCATGTGTGAGGCACCTGACTTCTCTGAGCCTGTCTTTCCTCAAGTGTAAAACAGAACCATGGTGAGTATTAAAGGAATAATATCTATCAAGCCCAGATAAGGCTATGAGCTGAAAATTCAAACTTTTTATTGTGGAAAATTTCAAACATAAACGAAAGTACCTATCATATAAAGTTGTTAAAAATACCTCCTTATCTTCCTTATATTTGCAGCATCTGTGGTGATGTTTCTTGTTACATTTCTGATACTGGTTATTTATGCTTTTCCCCTTTTCTCTTTTAGTCTCACCACATGGGTCAGCTGTTAAGTTAATGTATCTCAGCTCCAAATCCACTCTTCTATATTCCATCCTATTTGTGATGAAGGAGATGAGACTACAAACTACATTCCTGCCTTGCCAGATGCTCCCTAATAGGCTCTGCTAATTAGGGCATTTGAGAGAGACTGAAAAGCTGGAGGAGAAAGAAAGGACTTTTCATTTTTGTTTCATTTTTATGAGGGGCCACTGGCTTGTGGTTCTTGTGAACAGCATCCTAACAACACTCCATCACTGTGGCAGCAACAGTTTTTTCCTGTAGCAGCAGTACCATTTTTTTTTATACATTTATTTATTTTTGGCTGCATTGGGTCTTTGCTGCTGCACGTGGGCTTTCTCTAGTTGTGGCGAGCGGGGGCTACTCTTCGTTGGGGTGCATGGGCTTCTCATTGTGGTGGCTTCTCTTGTTGTGGAGCATGGGCTCTAGGCACATGGGCTTCAGCAGTTGGGGCACGCAGGCTCAGCAGTTGTGGCTCGCGAGCTCTAGAGTGCAGGCTCAGTAGCTGAGGCATACGGGCTTAGTTGCTCCATGGCATATGGGATCTTCCCAGACCAGGGCTTGAACCAGTGTCCCCTGCATTGGCAGGTGGATTCTTAACCACTGTGCCACCAGAGAAGCCCAGCAGTACCCTTGTTTTTTTTTTGTTTTTTTTTTTTTGCGGTACGTGGGCCTCTCACTGTTGTGGCCTCTCCCGCCGTGGAGCACAGGCTCCGGACGTGCAGGCCCAGCGGCCA